ACCAAAAATGTTAATTATTTTTTCGCAAAAAAAAAATTTAAATTACCTTAATTTAGTACCACTAGATTTAATATGATTTTCTCTTATATCTACAGTTATATCATCTGCTTGCTCATTATTTTTTCTCGCACACTTAAGTGCCGAGAAAGGCAGCTTACCTTTAGAGCTACCAATTTTCTCACCAATACTCATTATGAGCCGCCATAAAGGTGAATGTGCACTTGGGCTAATGGCGGATATAGTTAGGTAACGTTGGGAGAGGTGTGCCGCAGTGAATTACCATAAATTTGTGTTCGGACAAAATTCCTATTAAACGCATGTGGGAGAGCCATTTTATTATAGCGAACTCAGTCAAGCAAAAAGTAACCAGGTATAGTATTTGGGGTAAGATATTTTTATTTATGTTTGGTAAAAGCAATAATAATAAAAGTATTAATAATAATATCTGTGCTGCCTAAAATAAATAACACTAAAATTTTACTGCAAATTGCATTATATGGAATTCATCGTTGGTATCTTTGAATGAAAGAGAGAAATTATCATAATATAATACAATAATACTGATGCGTTCACACTTAGCAATCTTTTAGAGAGGGTGAAGGTAGTTTTTTTCTCTCTCTATACGTATATGATATTCACATATTGACGAAGATATCAGAAAAAACATATGCTCATATATACATATATTTCTGATGCTGTTAGTATTCAGAAACGACGATTGAGAGCGGGAGGCTGGTGTCTCATTTATCTATGGATTTAATGGTCTACTGATTTGACCTAAGACTGGTTCTTTAATTTCCAAACTGTTTAGTATTCAGCATGGCAAATATCCATGCAAGAAAAAATGGTAATCAGAGAGGATTACCTAATAGTAATTTTGGATATAAAATTGAGATGAAGATAGTGCAAAAGGTTTGAGACAGTTCTTTGAGATCGAGGTAGTTCATTATTAGTTTAAGTCATCCATACCATAGGTAGGGTGTTTACCTCAAGATCCTGAAAGAATTCAACTGCTCTTTTGCAATTATATGCTCTGCTAACATCTGTTTTTCTAACAAGCTCTTAACACTTAAATAAGACTCCAATATATGAGTTACATCCACAAATTTCGAAATTCATTTTATGATTAAAATCAACTATTTTAAGGCGAAATTTGATTTTAGAGATCGAGAAATAGTCACAAAACAAAAAAAATGGTACTGAAATCCTCTTCACGAGATTCACTTAACTTTTCTATTCAAAACACATGTGTTCTTCTTAGAACAATTCTGAAAACGATCAACTTCGTGCTGAAATCAACATCAAACATTTTTAAATGGATCTATTAGACCAACTATATACTGAGCCTATGGTTTAACAGACGTTGAAGTTAAATGAAGAAGAATTGGAATTACAAGAATCAATTATAAAGAATTACCAGAAGCATTAAAGAAACTTAATTTAAGAAAAATAAAACATAAAAAAAATATATAAAAAAGACCTTAAAAAATAGATTCTAAACTTCTACAAAAAAAATCTTAAACTGCAATGGCCTCCTTCTTCTAGTGTCTGACAAACCTTCACTTCACACCCAAATCCTCATTTGTACTTCATCTACAAATCTCCTTTTGTAATTATAAGCATGTTTGACCGCACGTGTGTGCAAAAGAAGCAACAATGTAGTAAGTCTTAATACCGATTTCCGTGTTATTTGTAGGGAGCCTCGTTGTTAATGCCGTCCTTGTGCCGCTTACGGATTTGTGTTCTTGCTTACTGAGCTGGTGGCTGAATAACTACTTTTTTGTCCACGTCGTTTCTTGTCGGCTTTGGATTTATTTGGCACCAACTTGAGTTTATTTGTTATATTTATTTTTTTTTACCTCTTTTTTATCGTTTTTGTCTTTTTCGTTTGTGAAATGGAAAGAGCTCGGCTATTGTGCTTCTCATGCAGTTTTCGGTGTCTTTTTCAAACTGATTTATTTGCTGTAACGTTAAGTGGCAAATAATACTTAATCTCCTTTGTGTAAATAATACATATTTATGTAGCAGATATTTATTTATCGCTGTTTTTGTTTTCTTACAATTTAATAGATTTTGTTTTTTACTTCCCAACTTGCAAGATCCATACCTCATATTGTAGACAAAAACTAGTTAGACTTTTTAATTACATTAAATTTAAGACATTACTATTAATAATATAAAATATATTCTGATAATGTTACACTACCTTGCATTCAATTGAAGCATTAGCCGACTAAAGTGGAGATGACATACTATATTACCCGTACATGCTAACCGTTTAAATAAATATAATATAATCACTCATACATATTTTTTTGTTCATTTTTATGACAACTTCTTTATTAGAAGTGCTTTATTAAAATTTCTTTATCAGACATATCTTCATACCTCACTGCAATATTTTATTTCGTTTTCAACTTAGTGGCAGTAATGTCCTAAACATTTTTGCTGTCCACGCAAAATAGTCCCGGCGAGAGCCCAACTAATATGCGAATTTTTTTAATCTAATATTTTTTATGTTTCTCGATTTTTTTTATTGTTTCTCCGGTTTATTACTCTTTCTATGGTAATAAGGGCGCTGTTAATGGTGCAGAAAAGTAGTCAACAAATATATTTTATTGCCAGTACAAATGTTAAACGAGTTTTATGTTATTACCTCATATTTGTATGCATACTTATTTATACACATATATATCTAATATCATATATTATGCAATAAAATGACTGAACCATATAGTGTAATAAAGCATATATTAGTTGTTAAAAAAGCACTGGGACGCTTTTCAGGCCAGGAAATAGAAAGTAGGCTTAAACCATGATTATAATAGCACTGTGTTGAGTTGCTCAAGAAATGAGAGAGAAGTCATCTACTCTGAGTAAAATAGTTCATATTATGATGATTAAAAACCACATGGAACACAAGTCCATATGAAAGTTCTAGACATAAAACTTTGGATTACCAATATTTTCAATGAAAAATTAAATACAATTTCAGAAAATAATGAATTTTCGCTATGATATTTAAAAACAAAATGCTGACAGTAGAAATGCTGCAAATATTTCCAACATAGCATTAGAAAAGTGTGGATGGAGGAAATGATTTTGAATGATCGAAATAGTCAGCTAATATTTCTTATATCCTTGTGATTGCTTGATATTGAAAGCACTTTGTCTGCTCCAAAAGACACAACTCGGAAGCATAGCACAATTGAGTTTGAAAGCATTGAAACCGTTATGTCTATGTAGCTCAGAATTCTGAAATTGATAATTATAGTTTTAGTAGTTTGTGACATATGTTCATAAGCATATTAAAGATCACGATTAATTTGATATTTGCCTCCTTGATGACTTAATTTCAAACCTTTTCGTTTCGTGGGCGTGACAATGGTCTGAGTGGCCCATATACAGTACTCCTCAACACTTTTACTCAAGTGATTATCGAAACATACTTTATGAAATTTATCCCTGAATTAGCAACAAAACACGAAAAAACTGTTTTTTTTTTATCAGATGAAGAAAGTTTTTACCATTAACAGTTTCTGTTTCGACCAAAAATAGTAGAGATTACGGAGAAATTTTGCAAGAAGACAGCCCGGTATATCGGAAATTTCAGGAGTATTACTGTTGCAAAGTACTCATTTACCCGCTAAGTAAAGGAGTTAAACCTGCCTTATCACATTTATTCCGTCTATGAACTGATTTTTTTTTTTTTTTTTTTTTTTTTTTTTTTTTTTTTTTTTTTTTTTTTTTTTTTTTTTTTTTTTTTTTTTTTTTTTTTTTTGTTTGCAGATGGAGATTCAAATTTCGAAAAGTTATCCAATTCCAACGTCCAAGGTTAGTCGATAAAGATTGATCTAGAATCTCTTTTCAGTTCTTTGAACTGTGTTTTTACAGTCAGAGATTCAAATTTCGGATAATCAACCAATTCAAAGGTTCAAAATGAGTCGATAAAGATTGGCCTGAACTCTCTTAGAAAGCAGTAATACGTCAAAGCAAACTCGGACACAAATAATCAGTGCTTTCGATTATTTTTTTTTCAGAGTACCCTTTTTTGATCAAAATTCTGTTCTATTAGAACCTACTTTAGACTATCTACAGGCTTTTTAAGTTATAAAGGCTGCAACTTTAGATATACAGGTTATGTTTGGTGAGATTAGGTTAGATTAGGTTAAGAGGTCGATCCTAACAGGGACTATGACCGGTCCGTCATCGTAGCTAAAACTCTAAATAATGGATCATAAACAGCTTGTTAAGAAAACGAATGTCAATTTCGGTTTTGTAACCTGGTTCTCCGAAAGTACGATATCCCAGATATTTCAACCTGAGTCTTGTGAAGGCTAGATAATAGATAGATAATTGAGAAGAAAATGTCGGGTTGCTTCTATTCTCTAACTCATAACACTCTCTCAAAAATCTTTTTGAACAACAATGCATGCACATTCAAATTTTGACCCATTTCTGAAAGGATCTGCAGATAACCTAGAAGAGATGTATAAATTAATCACAAATACTTTGTATATGCCATAACCCACTGACTAGCGAACTACCGTTTACCGAATCGATATTCAAAAACGGAATGAACACCAGCTTGCCAAAGTAATCAAAAAAAATAAAAAAAAACAGCGCAGAAAACAAGTGAGCGATGTGGAATTACAAGCATCGCTGATTGCTTTCAATTATGCAATGAATAATCACGTAATTAAAGGAAGAGAGCAGTGACTGGGCCAAGCCGTGAACACAGACCAGCGTGCGCATACAGCACAGTGAGAGTGGGAGAACGGCACGGCCATGCGGTAAGTAGAAAATCTTGTTGGAAGTGTAATTAAAAAACTTGCGAACTTACAACGTTTACACAACTGACTAAACGAATGGCGGCAGCTGAGCTCAATGGAGTCGGCCAGAAGGCGCTGTGGCGGCGCACGGGCACACGGGCACACGGGCACTGGGAGTGGATGGCAAGACATAACTAGCAGTGTTTGTATAATAAGGCGGCCACTTACCTGGTTAAATGTTGAATACGAAATTCAAAGCTCGTCTTTGAGTGCTTGAACTGTCACACTTCAATGTGGCTGGGTGGGTACAGGAGCAATGCGACAATGGCAGAGGTTATTAGCTTTGCGGCGTGAGGAAAGAGCGTAGGGAGAAATTCAATAAAAATTATGCGTAAAAGATGTGGCGGTGAATCGGTTAGTTTGGATTGCAGTTGGCACAATTTTTTTCTTTTTTTTTTATTTTTTTTGTTGAAAGAAGGAAAGAACGAACTCTCTGTTGTATATTTTTTTCGCAGCACTTTCTCAAACAACCGTTACGCGACCGTTGAACTTTCACGTTTAATGGTGCTCACTACCTTTTTTGGAATGTCCGCACATCCAGCGAGAGCTAATCAAGCTTAAATAATGAACTCAAATCGATTACGTTTTGCCGCATGCAAAGACAAATCAAATATCAGCTGAGTTGTCTTTTATTTTCGTCACGTAATTATCTATTTGCGCTCTTCTTTTTTTTTTAATTTCACTCACATTTACCTTGTGTGAAAATTTTCACGCTTTTTCACAATGCGCGCTATTGATTTTGCGCCGCCTCACACTCGCGCTGGTCGGCAGGCAATGCAAATTCACGCGCACTTACGAATCACGTCCGAACGCTTGTAAGGTGGTCGACAGATTGGCAGTGAAATAACGACAATCGCGACAAAGCAACGAAAAGATAGAGAAAATTACGCAAAAACAAAAGAATACACGCTTGAAAATATTAATAACAGCAGCAACGCGCTTCCGCTTATTATTGGCGCGACTATAACTGCAGTTACAACGCACGTATGTTGTTGTTGTTGTTCTTGTTGTGTTGCTAATATTACAATATTATTTTTATCGGAACGTCCGTCTGAACGTCTGTTCTGCACAGAACTTCACTTACACACTTTTGCTTTCCTGCAACAGCTTTTATTTTTATTTTTAGAGAACTTTTTTTTTTTTTTTTGCTCTCGCTTTCGTTCGCTTTATTACTTTATAAGACTGACAAACGACAAAAGTTGTGTGAAAAGAATTTTCATATTTTCTTTATATATTTTTGTTATTGTTTGCTTGTTTACTTTTTCAAGATTTTTTTGTTTTTGTTTTGTGGCATTTTTTTATTTCTGTCTGATTTTAAGCAAGTGTTCGATTTCGTTGCCTCGAGTCTCGGTTACTTAACTTATTTTGTTTTTGTTGCTTTGGTTTTTTATACAGCGTAGTGTTCGCTTTCCGGCAACAGCAGCCTTTCTCAAGTTTTTTTGTTGCTTTTGTTCTTTCAGTCAGGTGTTGACGTTGACATTCTGCAAAAAAAAAAATATAAATAAATTATTTTTCGTCAGGTTATGTACATATATATATACACACACAAACAAACACTGCAGTGTTGCTATTTGTGTAGCGTTTAAGCTTTTGTAATGCTTCAGGTGAAGAGTGAATGAACTCAGGACTTGCGCGCATCAATTTAGGTGGTTATGTACAGGTTAAGGTTTAGCGACTCAAAGGAAAATGTTTCAAGGTATTTTTAGTGTAATAATGGGAAGTCTGCTCCGATTTGCCTACTGGTAAAAATAGCTTTAATAATACCCAAAAACACTTAAAAAATTTCGATCAGAAAAATCTCGAGATACGTGGGATAGATTAACAGTACTTGAGATACTATAGTATGGTATATAATAGTTATCTCTCAATACTTAAAGTATTAAGTATATAAGATTGAAAGCAATATTCCATACTAACGAATATGAACATTTTCACGACTTTTTAGCTATGGGATCAAATTTCATCCGAACTGATAACAGAAAACTTATTGTCATGTATTTTAAAACAAATCTTCATTATTATATTTTAAATAGGATCTTTTTTATTAACAGGATTTTTCATAAGCCGCAGCTGGCTAATTTTTGGAGCATCTTGCTCTAAAGTATTGTATACTTTTATATTCATAAGCCCACGTCGCGCCACCAATAATGAAAACTTTGGTGAATGTAAGGTTCTCAGCTGCGTAGCATGCATCTCTTGTACGACTTCTTCTCGACGTCATTTTTGCAAAACTTTCACTTTGTACTTCATACCCAAGACATTAAATGAAATGTGTTGAGTACATCATAAACGATTGTTGAGAAGCTCTTCTATAATGTATCTGTTATCAAAATGAGAACAAACATTGTGTTTTTATTTTTTTTCAATACCATCGTAATTAACAGGGATGATTTCTGACATTCGCTAAATGCTTTGTGCACTCAATTACATGGTTTTGTTATAAACTTTGGACTCCCGCAAAGATTTCTATGATTTTGTATCCACGTTTCCATTGTAAACTCAAAACTCCATTAGAAACTCGTTGATCCGTTATTTTTATAAACAAAATCACCAGACAATTTATATTAAGTAAATAAACAGCTGCTAAGCACTAATTACAAACTGAAATTTGGGGCTAATGGGACATAGGAAATCAAACTGCACAAGAAGTTAGAAAACTTAGCTTGTACCATTCTGGGAAAAAGTATATTATGGGTTGTCCAGTCTAAATGGACGAGTCCCAGTCAAATTTGATGAGTTGGATTATAGTATTTATACTGACAAATATGGTAACCAGAACTTCTTAACTCATTCCGGAATCACTCTTACTAATAAATACCTAATGGCCTTTAATTTTGAATCATTGCCAATTCCGTCCTGGTTCATTCCTATACTCTATTATTTATGGAATAAGATGTGTTCAAAGGTTTAAAGAGGCTTTTAGGAAGAGCAAGAATTAAATATTACCATATTTTTTTTTATTTATGTATTTTTCTGCCTATATTTCATTGTATTCATCATACTTATTTTCACCTCACGATATACAACGTCAAAAATATATAATTTGTAGTCTTTTCAAAGAAACATTTGAGAACAAAATGAGATTGAAATAATTGTCTGGTAACAATAATTTGGTTTAAGCACAGAAATTACAGGGGAACAGCTGTCTCAGATTAAAAAGGCTGAGAACCACATCAAAATGAAAAGTGGCCCACACAGTGGATCGTCTCTTTGAGAGCACTACCACATCAAACCAGAAAGGTGAACGTAACAGTGGACAGTCTTTCTGAGCAGTCTATTCTCCCATCCTACACAACTTTTAATAGTAATAATAAGTAAAAGTGGCGGAAAATTCTAAAAAAAGTTGAGACGATTCATGTTATATAAATTTTAAGACTCAAAAAATTTCATACTGTTCCGGTGAATATTTTCGAAATTATATGACAATTTGAAAAGGCGTTTCAAAGTGCTTGAAAGTGCATTCCAAACTGTAAACCCACTTTTCTCAAATGGTGCTTTCAAAGTCGGTGACCAACATTAAACTAAACAGATTATTATTAAATTATTACAGAGCTTTTAGAATAGATGTTTAGTAATTAGTCGAACATTTTTTCTCACCAAAAAAAAATTTTTATCAACAATTTAAGACCGGCACTTTAATCAAAAATTGATTTTTTTTTAGATTACTAGAAGAATATTACTTTAACGAATCTTCGATCCAGTTCAGAGATATAGTGGCCACTGCAAAACGTGACCTGACTGAGATCAGCTGTACTTCCTTTCCAAAAAAAAAGTTGCTTTATTTATATAACATTGTATATTATATGCTAATTTATGTTTTAATTACAAGCCATGTTAGCGGAGAACTTAGTGTGAATGCATTTCTGTATTTGGAAGTGGTGAAAATGTTGTACACAGACTTAATTATCAGAATTTAGCTTATTTACAACAACTTAATAACAACAACAATGCCAGAAACGCCACTGGTACCACATAAATTAAGTCAATGTCAATTCCACTCAAAACAAAGAATACTCTTTGATAAAACTGTCAGACAAGCTTAGAGCTATGAACAAAAAATCATATAATGGAAGACAGCAATCGAAGACAGTGGAAAGAAAATTTTAAATATAATATAATTTACAGTTATGTAGCTACTTAAAATTTGATTGCCTCTTATTGCATTTTCACCTTTGGCAAATTAACCTTTTTGAGTGAAAAATTGCCAGCCTGCCGCAAATCAAGCGCAGACATCAAAGTCTAGACTGATTATATAATTGATTGCTTAAATATTTTTTATTGCTTTGCTTTATATTCGCTTTTCCAGCCGAAATTCGGTGAAAAATCACTTTAAATTGTTTCACTTATTTCTCGTCTTCGTTGGTGAAGTGCTCGCAAGAAACTTTAAATGGATATTATGCAAGGAGTGTCAGGTGAAAAAGGAATTGGGATATTGGTGAAGATTGCTAAAATCTGCTATCTCATACAGAGTGAACAATCAATCTTAATTCGAATAGATATCCTCACGAAATTGTGCACAGATTATTATTGTTGTTGTAACGGGTACCTAATCCCCTTTGTAATGGGAAGGACCAAAAAAATTGTCATCGCAGTCACCTAACGGGAGCAAAGAGAACGTGATGTTTTGACGGGGTCGGATCAAATGGAGAGGGTCTCAGATATGTAGCGTTAGCAGGGCACGCAAAAAGGTGGCTCGTGTCATGCGGGGACTCATTTCACGCCGGACATATGTTTGCTGTATCAGGGTCTGGATAAGTAGGAGTTTAACCTCTACAGTGTCCAGAACGAATCTATCATGTCAAAAGTTAGTTGCGTCCGAAGTCAGGTCGGCGTATTGTTTTATGTCGTCGATGTAGTTGAGGAGGAACTTCTTGATCCTCCTATCAGATGGCTCTGCTCCAAGCAGGTGACTGCAGGTATGATTTCTGCGAAAAGCTGCTTGGAGAGGAGATTATTATGCTTCTTAACCGGGAGCATACCCGCCTCACTATGGAAGTATTCGATGGGAGACATCAAGGGGCACTCTATCGTAGTCCGTAGTCTGAGAAGTCTGCGGTTTCACCGTCTACTTTTCACAGCATCCAGACATAGAGAGGCATAGTAAAGGACCGGCCGGCCGATTGCATTGTATGTTGCCAACAACGTTTCTTTATCTTTTTCTCATGTGCTGCCGGCTAGCGACTTGAAGGTTTCGTTGCTGCTCTATAATTTGGTAAAAATATCGGTCGTGTGAGGAGTGAAGAAGCGTAGGCCAGGGGTATCATGCCTAAAATCTTAGGATTTACTCCTTCGCCCAGGTTATCTGGCAGATAGCCATTTACATTTGAGCATATGCCATCGATTTCACTGCCTGAGCAATCGAGCAATCACCAGCAGACAAGGTGGTAGAAATTCCTTCTGACGATTATTGTCTAGAGCAGCGCAACAACCTCCGACCAAATTGCTTACATCGGTCCACAGTGTCATACAGCTGAGATGCAATGGGACCGAGCAAAGTTAAGTCTTTGGATGGAAATTTTTTTATTTATAAGATGTTGAAGTTTTTGATATATTATATTTTCTTAAACCATCTTTAAAGCTGAAATTATCAACCATTACTTTATCATTAAAATCTCAAATTATGACACAGCTTATTTTAATTTTGCTAATTTACGCTCGAGTGAAACGCATTATCATCGTGACGTTTTGTAATTACATTAAATACGGGCCAACTGTAAAAAACACAAGTAAACGAAAAGCAAACCGAAATTGAAATAACTCGAAATTCGCCGCTGAAAGCGACTCCCTACATGCAGCTGGGAACCCTGCGATTCGCGCACTCTCACTTCGTTCGCTTTACAATTTTATGCTTCAATTATCGCACAACTTTTCCAGTAAACGCCAAACACCAAAAGAAGAAAACGCCGAAACCTACAATACCGCCATTCAAAGCACTTATATAGTAAATGTGTGTATGTATGCATTTATAGCGGAATAGTGTTCGAATTACATAAATTTCGTTAACGGATGACTTAACAAACACATTGCGGAGCCAGTCGACTTCGATTTTTCTTTATTTAATTTTTTGATATTTTTTTTTTTTTTTGCAACAAACAGAAAAAGAAAATGAAATTTGTTTGGCGAGCACAGCTGATATCTCTCGTCGGCAATGACTTAAAGGCAACAACTTACAGAGAACTGCTTTAAGACCTTTTCTGCTGCAAAAATTTTCGTCATTTAAATTTTTTTGTTTTTTATTTTTTTGTATTTTATTTATTTATTTATTATTATTTTTTTTTTTTTGTGTTGTTTAATATCTATTACCAAATAATGTTGTTGCTCATGTTCCTTGGAAAAAGTGAAATGTTAGCAGTTAACTATTGAAGGAGACAGACAAAAAATATAGCATTTTACTGTTAAAACACACCTAGGCTTATCAGCATAGTGTATCGAATGTGCATAGCCATGTGTGTTTGTAAGTAACGAAAAAGTAGTGGAGAAA